TACCATTCCGGTACGGTGCTCCAGAGGGCCCACCTTCCCACCTAAGCTCCTTACCTGTATTTCAGCTCTTTAGCACTTACGCGCATGTAGCATACGGAGCCTGTGCGGCACTCCACCGAGCAGCTGGAGCGTCGCAGAGGCGTTGTGGAGGTAAGGACGCATGCACGTGCTGTGTGCGCGCATGTGGGGGACGCCGGGCCCCGTTGCATCATACCGGTTGCAACGGGATCCGGAATCCACCACTGGAAAGCGGCCCCCTCCTCCCCTCATGCCGGCCGCTGCGTTGCCTGTTTCTCCATTGTAGCGCAGTGTCCAGGGTCCATTTTTATAGCAGGGGTGGTGGTGGTGCATGCAATTTAACAACCGGTTTGCTCGAACCGATGCGAACCGGCTAGATCCTACCACTGCAGTACATCAGGAAAAGATCATTTAAAAATGTTCTTTTAAAGAACATGTATCACAATTGTGGTCATAACTCCAACACTATCTGTATAATCTTAAATCAGATTGGCTATATATTCAAAGCAGAGATCTTTGACCTTTCTTGCCATATTTGTTAAGGGAGTCACTGCAGTTCTCCAGTTAGTAGCTGAGCAGTTAAGCGAGTTTGCTTTGTCAGAGGGTCGCAAATGCGGATCGCATGATCCCGGAACACTGCAACTGTCATAAATATGAACCGGTTGCCAAGCGTCCACATTTTGATCACGAGACCATGGGGATGCTGCAATGGTTGTTAAGTGTGAAAAACCGCCATTAAGTAACTTTTTTCAGGGATTTTGTAACTTTGAAGGGTCACTGTTGTAAGTCGAGGACTACCTGTATTGGCTTAGCGACCATTCAAAGTTACAACGGCGGTAAAAAAGGGGACTTCTGACTGGCCCTCACACTTACAACTATCACACTGTCCCTGATCATGTGATCTAAATTTAGCCGCTTAGCAACTGCCAAGTATTTACAAGGGTTTTAATGTCCCGGACTCATGTAACCAACGTTTGCAACTTTCCAACAAGCGAAGTCAACGGGGAAAGCTGGATTTTTTTAAAAATTCCCTCAGGGCCTGCGGGTCGGATCTGGCCCGCAGGGTGCTTAGATGTGGCCTGTGGGACCGCCCTGGAAACAGTGAAGGACCGGCCCATGATGTCTCTGCCAGTGAAAACGGAGCTCGGGCGGGCCGTGCACAGAAGCCATCGCAGCCAAAAACAGAGCTCGGGAGCCTGTTTTGCCTGACAGAGTGCTCGAGCTCCCATGCGCGCCCCTGACACGAGTGATGTTGAGCTGGCCACGCCCCCCAGCCACACACCCTGACACACACACCTTCCCGAGGTCGAACACAACCCCGATGTGGCCCTCAATGAAATCAAGTTTGTCACCTCTGCCATAACAACTTAAGTGATTTGCTTTAATAACCGTGGCGACGAAGCTCGCAAAATCTGGAACCACTCACTTAGCAACGCTTACCAATAAAAACTCTGTTCCCAATCGTGGTCGTAAGCCAAGGACTATCTATAATTCCCCAATTTTCTATCCACGGGGGATAAAGCAATGTATCTGGAAAGCACTGGGTTGGGGAAAGTTGGTGTCGACTCTCAAGCAGGACAATTTGGGTGTGCTGGTGTGGCCACTGCCTTCTCCTGGCATAATGGTAAAGGTTCTCCTCGCACATATCTACTAGTCATTTCTGACTATAGGGGGCAGTGTTCATCGCGTTTCAATGCTGAAGAGCCAGCGCTGTCCGAAGACGTCTCTGTGGTCATGGGGCTGGCATGAGTAAATGCCGAAGGCACACGAAACGCTGCTACCTTCCCACCAAAGTGGTCCCTATTTTTCTACTTGCATTTTTCGATCTGCTAGATTGGCAGAAGCTGGGACTAGTAACGGGAGCTCACTCCGTTATGTAGTGCTAGGGATTCGAACTGCTGAACTGCCAACCTTTGTGATCAACAAGCTCAGTGTCTTAGCCACTGAGCCCCACATTAGCAATAACAATAGCAGTTAGACTTATATACCGCTTCATAGGGCTTTCAGCCCTCTCTAAGCGGT